TGAAGATGGGAGAGGGCCATGAGCCAAAGAATACAGGATGCTCTGGAAGCTGGAAAAGGCAAGGAAGCAGATTCTTCCCTAGGGTCTCCAGAAGGAACACAGTCCTGACGACACCACGATTTTAGGATTTCTGACTTCCAAAACTGTAAGATAATAAATTTATGTCATTTCAAGCCATTAAAGGTTTGTGGTAATTTGTTACAGCAGCAATAGGAAACTAATACACCATTCAACAACATTCAGTAGACATTTATGTGTCATTACTGTTAGTTGCCGTTGAGTTAGCTCTGACTCATGGCGACCTTATGTACAACAGACCAAAATGTTGCCCGATCTTGTGACATCTTCATGATTGCTGGTATGTTTGAGTCTATTGTTACAGCTATTGCAACCTAGGGAGCAACATATGAGGCTCATCTTCTAGCACTATATGGGACAATATTTTGTTATGATCCATAGGCTTTTCATTGGCTGATTTTCAGAAGTAGATCACCAGACCTTTCTTCCTAGTCTGTCTTAGTCTCAAAGCTCCAGTGAAACCTGTCCACCATGGGTGACCCTGCTGGCATTTGAAATACCGGTGGCATAGCTTCCAGCATCATAGCAACATGCAAGCCACCACAGTACCACAAACTGAAAGACCAGTGGTGGGATACGTACTTAGCAACTAGTTAGTTTGCCAGGTCTAGCTGCTTGGGATCACTCAAAAGCGGTTGCAGCAATACTTTGACAGGGAACTGCCAGAAATTCAAGCCAGATTCAGAAGAGGATGTGGAGCCAGGGATATCATTGCCAATGTTAGATGGGTCTTGGCTGAAAGCAGAGAATACCAGAAAGATATTTACCTGTGTTTTATTGGCTATGCAAAGGCATTCCACCGTGTGGATTGTAACAAATTATGGATAGCATTGCAAAAAATGGGAATTCCAGAACACTTAATTGTGCTCATGAAGAACCTGTACATAAACCAAGAGGTAGTTGTTCGAACAGAACAAGGGGATACTTTGTGGTTTAAACTCAGGAAAGGTATGTGTCAGGGTTGTATCCTTTCACCATACTTATTCAGTCTGTATGCTGAGTAAATAATCCGAGAAGGTGGACTATATAAAGAAGAATGTGGCATCAGGATTGGAGGAAGATGTATTAACAACCTGTGTTAGGCAGATGACCCAACCTTGCTTGCTGAAAGTGAAGAGGACTTGAGCATTTACTGATGAAGATCAAAGACCACAGCCTGCAGTATGGATTACACCTCAACATAAAGAAAACAAAAATCCTCACAATTGGACCAATAAGCACCATCATGATAAATCGAGAAAAGATTGAAGTCATCAAGGATTTCATTTTACTTTGATCCACAATCAACACCCACAGAAGAAGCAATCAAGAAATCAAATGACATACTGCATTGGATAAATCTGCTGCAAAAGACCTCTTTAAAGTGTTGAAAAGCAAAGATGTCACTTTGAGAACTAGGCTGTGAGAACATAGCATCCAAGTAAAGACAGCCAAGTAGAGTACAGTATTTCAAAAAGGAGGGAGAGATTATCTGTGTCAATTGCTGTTGGTAAGATAAAGCCTGAGAAGTGACAATTGGATCAAGGAAAGTGGATGCTATGGGTGATCTTGCGGAGGGGGCATCCAGTGGAGTGGTGAGGGCAGAGCCTAATTGTAGGAGGCCCAAGAGAGAATGGGAAAAAAGAAACTGGAGACAAGAAGCTCAAATGACCCTTCCAATGAGTCTTGCAATAAAGGAGAAGACAGAAATTGAATGATAGTTGAAGGGAGAAGTAGGGTCAAGGTCATTGTTTTTAAAGATGCGAGAAATAACAGCATGCTTGCATGGTTTGAGAAAGATTAAGTATAGAGGGAAAATTGGTTATTGCAGGAGAGTGAGAGAGAATTGCTGGAGAGAGGTAATTAAGTGGGAGGGAGGGGATCAGGGGGCTGGGTAGACAAGTGCACAAGGGTTGGCCTTTGTTAGGAAAAGAGACAGTACATTGCAGTAACAGGAAGGAAGGAAGAGTACATGGATACACACTTTTAGGTGAGTCACTGTGGAAAGGCATTTTCAGAAGTTCTCTTCTGATTGCTTCTATTTTCTTAGAGAAGTAAGAAGCTAGGTAACAACTGAGAGAGAGGATAAAAAATCAAACCCAGTGCCATCAAACTGACTTCACAGGACAAAGTAGAACTGCCCCGTGGGGTTTCCAAGGCTGTAATCTTTATGGATTTCATTTTACTTGGATCCACAATCAACATCAGTCAAAAAATCAAATGATGCATTGCATTGGGCAAATCTACAAAAGACCTCTTAAAGTGTTAAAAAGCAAAGATGTCACTTTGAGGACTAAAGTGCGCCCAACCCAAGCCATGATATTTTTAATCACCTCGTATGCATGCGACAGTGAATAAGGAAGACGGAAGAATTGATGCCTTTGAATTTTGGTGTTGGCGAAGAATACTGAATATACCATAGACTGCCAGAAGAACGAACAAATCTGTTTGGAAGAAGCACAGTGAGAATGCTCTTTGGAAGCAAGGATAGCGAGACTTCATCTCACATACTTGGACACGTTATCAGGAGGGACCAGTCCCTGGAGGACATGATGCTTGGTAAGGTAGAGTGTCAGCGAAAAAGAGGAAGACCCTCAATGAGATGGATTGACACAGTGGCTGCAATAATGGGCTCAAGCATAACAAGGATTGTGAGGATGGTGCAGGACCAGGCAGTGTTTCATTCTGTGGTATATAGGGTGGCTATGAGTCAGAACCGACTCAACGACACCTAACAACAACAACAACAAATCTTTACGTAAGCAGACTGCCACATCCTTCTCCTGTGGATCAGCTGGTGGATTCAAACCACCCACCTTTCAGTTAGCAGCTGAGCTCTTAACCACTGCACCACCAGGATCCTTGAGAGGGAGGACAGGAAGGTTTAAGGCAAATCAAAGCAAAGAGGAGAATGGACCAAAGAGACTGTGTGACTGTAGAGCAGCATTAGGGGTCTACATGATGTTAACAGTAACCAGTTGCTGTTGATTCTGACTCATTGCGACTCCATGTGTGTCAGAGTAGAACTGTGCTCCATAGGGTTTTCAATGGCTGATTTTTCTGGAATAGATCGCCAGGCCTTTCTTCCAAGGTGCCTCAGGGTGGACTTGAACCTCCAACCTTTCGGTTAGCAGTCAAGTGTGGTAACTGTTTATACCACCCAGGGACTCCTACATGAAGTTAGTGGGCATGAATTTAAAAGTGAGACCAGTTCAATGTGCTTGCATTGCTCCGTCCTCATTCACTTGTGTTGGTGCAGGTTTGGACTAGGCAGAGAGTTGGCTTTAATCAGGGCTGAGCTCTTGCTAAGTGCCCAAGTATGGTGTGGAAATAACAGAAGGCAATGTGTACAGTGATGACTGAGGACTGATGACAGGCAGCTCAGCAGAAGCCATCATTACAGATGATGTGGAAGAAACAGGCCTGCCCTTCCTCAATGCCCTAGTCCTGTGAAAACCCTCTGGAACTTAGATCGGGACCCCAGATTAGGGGAGATCATGTTTCTGCCTCCTCAGGGGGATGGGGGCTCAAAGCAGAAATTAGGGTCAGTCATAGAAAAATAAAGTTGTATCTCTGTTTGGCACACTTGAATTTCAGCTATGAGATGATCTGGTCTATGTATACTACCAGAGGTCACATTATATTATTTTTGTCTCCCCACGTTTGTGAATAAACGACTGGTTGGAATGCCAATAAGATTTACTCAGGCAGAACTGGTTTAGTACAAATAGTTAATGTATGTTTCAAAAAAAAAAGTGCATTATTAGACTATATATTTAGTTTTGATCAAAATTACATATCTTGGTGTGAGTTACCTGGGTTTTTTGGCCAGGTATATCTTTTGTATCCTCTAATTTTTCTTCCTGATTAAAAAAATAATATAAAATGTTGACAATATAGAAAAACACAAAAAAGAAAATAATAAAGAAATACAACCATCCCTGATCTGACCCCAAAGGGAAAATAGCTTTATTTCAATGATAAAAATTACACATTTTCTGTAAAACATTTAAACAATACTCGAAACAATAAAGAATAGCAAATCACACCATCCAGGGATAACCAGTTAAAATCATTCCCTGTAACTAACTCTCTGCATTGATAAATGCATGTAATGTACATCAATGGGACATTTTTCATGTAACGTGATGTCCTTTTCCATTCTCATTTTTCAACAAGTGGGGCCATCTTTCTATGTCAAAAACAGAGATCTCTGAAATTATTTTAATGGATGCGTATCATTGCAGTGTATGAATGAATCACAATGTCAGGTACTCAGCTGAGGACATCTAGGTTGTTTCTAGTATTTTGCTTTTATAAAAAATGCTTCAGTTGAGTAAACTTGAACATACATGTTCGTGTACTTTTTCAATGATCTCCTTAGAATAAATACCTATAAGTGAAATTGCTGGGTTAAAGGAAAAAATATACATATATCTCTAGAAAGACTGTACCATTGTAGTACCAATATACTCTACCACCAGCAATGTAAGAGGGTGCCTGTTAGTCTACTTTCTGGACCACACTTGATAATGTAAATCTTCTTATCTGTACCAATTTGGGGGGTGAAAAATGATTTCATTTGCATTATAAGGTTGAATATATTTTCATATTTATCAGTCATTTGCTTGTTGGTATCTTTTGCCTAGTTTTTCCTATTTATTTTTTTCTTCCCTATTTATTTGTATGAGCTGATTGTAAATTAATGGACACAGCAGTTAAGCACTTGGCTGCTAACCAAAAGCCTGGCAGTTCAAACCGAACCAGCAGCTCTGGCTCCGCAGGAGCAAGACTTGGTGATCTGAAGACCAAGAAGACCAAGTCTTGGAGAAAGACTTGGTTCCATAAAGATTACAGCCAAGAAAACCCCATGCAGCAGTTCTACTCTATCACATGCAGATGCTGTGAGTGGAAATTGATTCCACAGCACCTAACACCAACAACATTGTAAATTAGGAATGCCAATCTTTGTCTTCTGCCAACTTGTTCTTAAAAAAGTGTATTCATAGTGATTTAAAAAAATTTGTACAGAAAATTTTAAATTTTTCATGGAATTCTAAAATCATGTTTAGAACGATCTCTTATGATAAACTCTACCAGTATTTTCATTTATGATTTCTGATTGTTTTGCTACTTTGTAGGCGCCTTCACCACCTCAATGGTATGAATATATTCACCTATATTTTCTTCTAAATTTTTGCTAACATTTAAATACTTAATCCATTAGAATTTACTTAGATGTATTTTTTTCCCTCAATGGATAATCAGCTGTTCCAACATCATTTATTAAGCTTTTTTTTCTCTTACTGTGTTTATTCCTGATCTTCTGTCTAGTCCTTTGAAAATACTGTCTTATTACTTTCTAGTGTGTTCATTCCTCCTTCCTTTAAGGTCATTTTGATGGTTGCATAATAATCTGTTACACGCACGCACCATAATTTATTTAACCAGTCCCTTATGACTAGGAATTTGGGACGTTTCCTATTTTTTCCTACAATCCATATAGTTTCGGATTGAATTAAATACATTATCTGCCTCGTTGGCCTAAGTTTCGCAAATTATCCATTTCCACTTTTCCTTGAATTATTTAAAAAATTACAACCAACACGTTGGCCTCAATTATTGTAACTGGCAATGAACTCTTTGGCTGGGGGTTGGGAATACCAAGGTGAGACCTCCGAGCGACACCAGGGGGCGCAGTTCTCCGGCTCCGCCTCAGCCACATCCGGGTTCCACCGCAAGTTCGGGCCGGGAGCAGGCGGAACCTTTCCGTCGCGTCCCAGATTAATCTGCGCCGCGAGGCTGTTTAGGCCTCCGTGCAGCGCTCTCCACGCATGCTGCAGTTTGCCTGGGGCAGCGAAGGCGGGCGTGAGGGTTCTGTCTGCTGTTTCCTTCGTCGTGAGCGGAGTGGGCAGGATGGACGTGCTAGCGGAGGAGTTTGGGAACATGACTCCGGAGGAACTTGCAGCTCCAATCCCAACCGTGGAGGTGAGCGTCGAGCACATGGGGGAGCGGAAGGGGGCCGGGACGCGTACTGAGGAGGCGTTGCCACGAGAGCTCTTGCCGCGGAGGGCGAGGTGGCGGCTTCTGCGCATGCTCACGGGCTAGCGCGTGCGGGTCCTTTCCCGTCCCGGGCGCCGCCCGCACGTGGAAGGGCAGAGTACCAGGAGCTGTCCTCCGCTTCGGGGCCTGAGAAGCCTTGCGGGTAGCTCTCGGGTTGACTGATTCCCGGGCACTGTTCGTGTGTCCGGAAGGATTGGCCCTCGCACCCACTCGGGGAGACCTATTGCACCTCTCCAGCCTTATAGAGAAGGACCCAGAGGCCCAGGCAGCTTAGGCCACTTTCATTAGGTTCCGCAGCTCGTTGTGGTGATAAAACCAAATCCTTTAAATCCCAGGCTAGGAATCTTTCCTTTTAACCACGAGTTTAAGTTTGGGCTACTGAGGTATTTTAAACGCCCCGAAGATAAATTTAAATTTTTACCTGTGTGTTTGTTTTTCTGGGGAGAAGCCCCGTAGCTTTCATCAGATCCTCAGAAGGGTAACTGCCCTGCAGTGAGCTGCCTGATGAAGTTCAACTATTGTCATAATTTTATTTTCTGGAAAGGTTCATATTACTTCTGGTTGGTATGAAGTGAGAAAGTGGAGAAATGAGGCTGGAAAAGATAGGGGAGAGATTTCAGGTAGAGGGAAGAGAATACTTAAAACGTTGTAGGCAAGACCATCTGATGTTTTTGGAGAGTTAAATAAACCCAGTAGTACTAGAATGAAGAAAAGGAGGAGTAGAGATGCCCTGGTGGAGCAGTGGTTAGGCGCTCAGCTGCTATCTGAAAGGTTAGCAGTTCAAACCCACCAGGAGAAAGATGTGGCTGTCCGCTTCCTTAAAGATTTCAGCCTTGGAAACCCTATGGAGCAGTTCTGTTCTGTCCTATAGGGTCGTAGTAAGTCGGAATTGACTTGATGACAACTTTTTTTTTTTTTTCCCAGAGATGAAAGATAGGTAAGGAGCCCCATTATGAAAGGCTTTGCTAAACACATGAAGGAGCTTGAACTTGATCCTGGGGGCAGTGAGATGCAGGTGAAGGGTTTAAGTAGGAGAGTGACATGATCAGCTAATCTATTGGATTGTAAGAACCTCCTGGTAATCATTTGGCAGCTCTATGAAGTCTAATCAGTCAATAAAATTCAATCTATGAATGCCTGGGCTACACTGCTGATCATCAGGCAATACTGGATTTTAACTCTTGAAGAGTTAGTATTAATAGCCGGCATTTACTGAGTGACGTACTATGTGCCAGGCATTGTTTAAGCATAACATGTGTTATGCTATTTAATCCTCTGAAATAAGAACTATTTCCACCCCTGTTTTGCCAGTGAGGTTTTGAGGCCCAGAGAGGTTAAGTAACTAGCCTAGCGTCAGAAGCTGGTAGGTGGTTGATCCGGAATTTGGACCCACGCAGTGTGACTCCAGAGTCTTCCTCCTTGACTGCTGACTGGATGACTTATTCAGATAGCTGAAGAAAGAGGCCTGTTATTGTTAGGTGCCATCGATCGGTTCCAACTCATAGTGACCCTGTGTACAACAAAATGAAACACTGCTGGTCCTGCACCATCCTTGTGATCATTGTTATGCTTGAGCCCATTGTAACAGTCACTGTGTCAATCCGTCTCATTGAGGGTCTTCCTCTTTTTCCTCTACTAAGCGTGATGTACTTCTCCAGAGATTGGTCCATCCTGATGACATGTCCAAAGTATGTGAGACGAAGTCTCACCATCGTTGATTCTAATGAGCATTCTGGCTGTACTTCTGAGACAGATTTGTTTGTTCTTTTAGCAGTCCATGGTATATTTAATATTCTTCACCAACACCGTAATTCAAAGGCAGCGATTCTTCTTGGGTCTTCCTTATTCATTGTCCATATGCATATGAGGTGATCGAAAACACCATGGTTGGGTGAGGCACATCTTAGTCCTTAAAGTGACATCTTTGCTTTTCAACGCTTTAAAAAAGTCTTCTGCAGCAGATTTGCCCAATACAATGCATTCGTTGATATCTTGACTGCTGCATCCGTGGTTGTTGATTATGGATCCAAGTAAAATGAAATCCTTGACAACGGCAATCTTTTCTCCATTTATCATGATGTTGCTTATTGGTCCAGTCCTGAGGATTTTTGTTTTCTTGATGTTGAAGCATAATCCACACTGAAGGCTATAGTCTTTGATCTTCATCAGTAAGTGCTTCAAGTCCTCTTCACTTTTAGCAAACGAGGTTGTGTCGTCTGCAGATCACAGGTTGTTAATGAGTCTTCCTCCAATCCTGATGCCCATTCTTCTTCATATAGTCCGGTTTCTCGGATTATTTGCTCAGCATACAG